CAACATCTTTGTTGGTATGTGGTGCTGAGGATCGAACCCGGGTCGCACGCATGCCAGGCGAGCGCGCTACCGCTTGAGCCACATCCCCAGCCCAGCAGGCAGTTTTTTAAAAAAATATTTATTTAGTTGTAGATGAACATACAGTATCTTTAGGAGGTGCTGAGGATCGAACCCAGTGCTTCATACATGCGAGGCAAGTGCTTGACCACTAAGCTACAGCTCTAGCCCCAACACCAGGCAGTTTTAAGTGCTACAAAAAGGGGGGGAAAAGAATTGGGGAAAGAGAGCATTTTAGACAGGGTGGTTTGGGACTACTTCTTATAAAGAGTACTTTATATATTGTATATAAAGTATAAAGGGCGGGGTATATAGCTCAGTGGTTGAGTGCCCTAGGTTCAATCCACAGTACCAAAAACCAACCAACCAACCAAAAAAATTATTTCAAAAAGAAAAACTCAGAAGGCTAGGTGTTGCAGGGTCAGTCTCTGCAAGCACCCCCAACTTTATAAAGAAAGAGTACTTTATATGTTGTAGATATTAAGTCTTATCTGCTAGATGATTTGCAAAACTTGTCTACTATTCCATAGGCTATTTTTTTTCTTTTCTTTTTTTGTACTGGGGATTTAATTCAGGGGCACTTGACCACTAAGCCACATCCCCAGCCCTATTTTGAATTTTATTTAGAGACAGAGTCTCACTGAGTTGCTTAGTGCCTTGCTTTTGCTAAGGCTGGCTTTGAACTCGAAATCCTCCTGCCTCAGCCTTCACAGGTGCTGGGATTATAGGCGTGAGACACCATACCCTGCTTTTTTTACTTTCTTGATGTTGTTTTTTGAAGGACAGAAGTTTAAATTGTTGTTGTTGTTGTTATTTTGTGTGTGTATGTTATTTGGGATTGAGCCCAGGGCCTCATACATGCTAAGCAAGCATTCAGTCACTGAACTGCACCCTTTGAACAGTTTTTTTGAGGTAGTAGGTCCAATTTAGTTCTTTTGCACATGGATATCCAATTATTCCTATATCACTTTTTAAAAAGACTATTCTTTCTCCCTGAGTTATCTTGGATATCTTGTCAAAAATAATTATAAATGTAAATAAAAAATAATTATAAATTTTATTTCTAGACTCAAAATTCTATTCTGTTGCTGTATATGTCTGTCTTTCCTAGTACCACATTATTTTGATTACTGTGGTCTTATAGTAAATTTTGCAGTTGAGAAATTTGTTCTCCACTTTTTTCTTTTCAAGATTTTCTCTCTTCTGAGTCTCTCATCTTTCCATACGAATTTTAGGATTAGTTTGTCAATGTCACCAAAAAAATCAGCTTGGATTTTTGTATTGAATCTATAGGTCAGTTAGGGAGTCTTTCCATTATAATGACTTTTCAATCCATGAATATAAAAAATCTTTTCATTTTTAAATCTTCTTTAATTTCTTTCAACAGTGTTTTGTAATTTGTATTGAGAAGTCTTGCACTCTATGTGTGTGTGTGTGTCTGAGAGACAGAGAGACACACACACACACACACACACACATACACACACATAGATAGGGGATTGAATCCATTAAGATATATCCCCAGCCCTTTTTCAATTTTATTTTGAAAAAGGGTCTTGCTAAGTTACCCAGGCTGGCCTTGAACTTAGTAGCCTCCTGCTGAAGCATCTGGAATAGCTGGGATTTATGGTGTATAGCACCATATCTAGCTTGTACTTATCTGATTAATTTTTTCCCCTAAGTATTGTAGCATTTTTTATTCTTGGGCATTTTATATAATCAAATTTATCAACCTTCATTTGTGCTTTGACAGTTTTAGGAAAATCTTTTCTTAAGGTCATAAAGATTTCTCCTGTACACTACAGTTTTGAATTTTTTGGCTTTCACATTTGGATATTTAATAACCTAGAATTGATTTTACAGAATGGTGTCAAGTGAGGATCTATTTTTACTTTTGTTGCACTTGAAAAATCATGTGTTTTAGTACCAATAACAGGAATTCCAGGGGCTGCAGTTGTGGCTTAGTGGTAGAGCGCTTGCGTGGCAAATGTGAGACCCCGAGTTCGATCCTTAGCACCGCAAATAAATAAATAAATAAACAAACAAATAAATAAATAATCCATATACAACTAAAAAAATTGTTTTTTAAAAAAGGCATTCTATCCCCGAAAGTGGAAGTACCGCCACTATCATCTATCAGAGTCCATGGTCACAGTGTACTTTTTTCTGGGTTTTTGTTTCACTTCTCTACTGTTTGATTGAAATCATAAACCCATACTGTAGTTATGTGGTCAGTCTTACTACCAAATGAAGGTGATTTCCCTACCATTTGTCTTTAAAGTCTTAAGACTAACTTGATATATTTCTTGGATCTTTGCTTTTCTACATGAGTTTTAGAATTAATTTGTTAAGAAAGAAAGAATGAGAAAATAAGAGAGACAGACAGGGAGAGACAGAGACAGGGTAGGATTTAAGTGGAATTGCTTTGCCTTAAAGGGAACCCAAAACAATTCTATAAAACATTATGTTGTTTGAGATTATGGTTTGTTTACTTAAAGATGAGATTGGAATACTTAAACTATAGTGAGCAAATTTTAGAAATCAATTAACCTTTAAAAATATCTCTAAATTCTCCTTTAATTAATTTATTTTAAAGAGAAAAGGCTTGTTTTGGCCTATAGTTTGGGAGGTTCCAGTCCATGGTCAGTAGGCCCCATTGTCTTAGGCGCTGGCTGAGGCAGCACATTGTGATGGATCAAAACTCCTAACCCATCACTGGGAAACAAAAGAGGATAGGAGGAAGGACCCAGGGTACTGCAGTCCCCTTCAAAGGCATGCCCCCAGTGACATAAATGCCTCTCATTAACTCCCTCCTGGGGTGCTACCTCCTGGTAGCACCAAGCTGGGGACCAAGCCTTTAACATGAGCCCTTGTGGGATATTCTAGATTCAGATGGCGTTCTGGGGCCATTCTGCCTGCCTCTGTCCCCCAAAGGTCCATGTCGATCTTACAGTTCATCCTTTTCATTCCCAAAGTCTCAACTGTTCCACTACTGCTGAAAAGCCCAAGTCTAAAGTCTCTTCTAGACACAGGCGATCTCATCTTGAGGCCCTGTGAAAACCAAAGAAAGTTAGATGCTTCTAAGATACAGAGTGGCACAGGAATAGAGAATACATTCCTATTCCAAAAGGAAAAAATGGGAAAATACCAAGGATGGATGGGACCAAAGCAAGACCCAAACCCAGCAGGGCCAAACATTTAATCCCAGCTCTGTATCCAAACCCCTGAGTATTATGTGGGCTTCCTAGGGGTTTGGAGAGCCCAGTCTCTATGGCCTTGCTGGTTATAGCCCATAAAGCCACCTCTGTCAGCTGGCTTTTCACACTGCCTGCTGTTTCCCTTGGCAGGTGCTCTACATTGTTGGCGTATCTGTCTTCTTGGGGTCTCCATTGGAGACTCAGCTTCACTTTCAGACCTCCACACATTGACTGACTTGTCAGGGGCTGCTTGCAGAGACTCTGACCCTGAACACACTACCTGGCCTTCTGAGTTTTCCTTTGAAATTTATATATATATTTTTTGTTGGTTGGTTGGTTTTTGGTACTGTGGATTAAACCCAGGACATTCAACCATTAAGCTATATCCTCAGCCCTTTTTATTTTTTATTTTGAGACAGGGTCTCACTAAGTTACTTAGGACCTCATTGATGAGGTGAGCTTTGAACTTTTGATCTTCCTGCGTCAACCTTCCAAGTCACTGAGATTATAGGCATGTGCCATCATGTCAGCTTCCTTTGAAGTCTTACTTGGAAGCCTCCAAGATCCTCTAAGTCTTGAAGTCTGTGTACCAGCAAAACAAGTATTCTGTGGTTGATGTCATGGCTACAGTGGCCTCTGAGTGCCTTTCTATTATTTTATAGAATGATATTCTGATCATAATCTAATAAATATATATTTTTAAAGTGAAGTCTCACATCTCAAACTTTTTTTGGCAGGGGGAGAGGTACTAGGGATTGAAGTCATGGGCACACAACCAATAAGCCACATCCCCAGTCCTCTTTTGAATTTTATTTAGAGACAGGGTCTCACTGGGTTGCTTAGTGCCTTGCATTTGCTGAGGCTGGCTTTGAAGTTGTGATCCTCCGGCCTCAGCCTCTTGAGCCTCTGGGATTATAGGTGTATGCCACGATACCTGGTGAAGCCTCACTTCTCAGAATTTATTCTTTGGAAAAAATAAGTATAAGGAGATACAAAGTACTTGTACATTGGTAGTATTGGGAAAAGCCTAAATATTATGAGTGGGAATTCATTAATTTGCCATATATCTCTATTGTGGAATTTAGGCATC